GAGCGCGGCCCAGCTCGGCGTCTTCAGCGGGAACACAGCCCTGGAGACGGCGCGCAGCTCCACCCGCCACGTGCTGCTCGGCTTCCACAGCGACTTCTCCAACGGCGGCTTCTTCGTCCTCAACTTCCACGGTGAGCACCCACCCCACCCCCCCGCGGGCCAGGGCAGAGGGTCCACTCACCGCTTCTCCTGTCCCCACCCGCCGGGCCAGCGGGGGCCCGCGAGCTGGTCTTGCCTGGGACGCCTTTTGAAAAATATACTTTATTGACTTCTGAGAGGAAGGGAGAGGGAGGGAGGGAGAGAGAAGCATCAATGATGAGAGAGGCCCACAGGGAACAAACCTTCGACCCTGCCCGTGGCCTGAGCGGCAATCGAGCTGCGACCTCCCGGTTCACAGGTCAGTCCTCACCACGGAGCCACGCCCGCCGGGCGCCTGGGACACGCTTTTGTTTAATGTCTTTATTATTTCTGCCTTTCTGAGCTGTGTTTTGCGACCAGCTTGGACTCATTCCAGGAGAGGTGTGTGGACGTGAAACTCTGATGTGCATGCCACGGACACGCGTGGCGATCTCATGGCTGCCCTCATCGCTCTGTGTGATTACATACGGGCGAGAGCCAGCCCTGAGGGCGTGAGAGTGACCGCTAGTGATGGGAAAAGCGTGTGGGTCCCTCACCTCTCATGAGGATGAGGACGGCCACCAGGGAAGTCGTGGGGGCAGCGACCTTATCCGACCTGAACGTGGATGTGGGACCAGGCACGGATGGACTGTTTCCCTTAGGAATCCCATGTGTGTCCGGGACGTGTGATGAGGTCATTGTGTTTAAATCGTAGCTTCTCTCTTCGGGGGTAGATGCTCCGGGCACTGACCTGTCCTGTGAGCAGGGGATCTGAGAGCTTTATAAATCCACGACCTCCTGGCACAGACACCTCGGTGCCCAGATGCCAGCAGCACAGGGGCGTGACGGGGATCATCGTGTTTATGCAGCAAATGTAACTGCAGCTTTTCTTTCTCATCAACCCCGTAGCCTTTCAGCTCAAGAAGTGCCCGCCGCCCCCGGCCGTCCCGCAGGCGGAGCTGCTGCGTGAGGACGAGGACTTCGAGATCGGTGAGGGCGCGTCCCCGCGAGGCCATCGGAGTCACGGGCTTCCCCCCCACCCCCTGCGGAGTCACTCCCAAGAGTGGGTGTGTGTCAGAATATCCCACTGCCCCGCGGGGGAGCTACACGCCCAGGTCACGTGCCCGACACACACGTGTCCCTCTCGTCATGTCCGTGACCTCTGGGTTCCGCAACATGACGTTCACTTCGGTCACTTGGAGCCCATCCCCCAGGCACTTACTGTCCATGTTTACCTCTTTTTTAAAATATGTTTTTATTGATTTCAGAGAGGAAGGGAGAGGGAGAGAGAGAAACATCAATGATGAGAGAGAATCATGGATCAGCTGCCTCTTACACACCACGCACTGGGGGAGCCCACAACAACCCAGGCATGAGCCCTGACCAGGAATCCAGCCGTGACCTCCTGGTTCAT